TCATTAAGGTAGCTGAACGTACGTCGCGGCATGCGCAATATCAGCTGAGCGCTGCGTTGTGCGCTATCTCAACTTCCTGCTCACACTGTTTCAGCCTGTTTCCTCTTGCAAAGACTCGCATTATTTTCATTATCTTCGTGATGGTGAGGCGGCTGCCTTCAGAGACCGACCCAATTCTGCCTGAATTCCGTCTGTGACATGTACTGCACTGTAAAGCAATATGTCATCGCAGATATTTCTCTTATGCAGACTCATCGGTTTGCGGCAGGCGCAGGCTTGGATTGTTAGCAGAAGCCCTTTTTCCTGACAATAAGATAACACGTTGGACATTTCAATTGCTCTTCTATTGCTGTCTCTTCTTGAGGGCACGCCGACTCGAGTACGCCTTCCTTTAGTATTTGGAGGCCTCTTAATAACATTTCTACAATATAAAAATACAACTTTATTACAATAATGTCGCATACTAGCATGGGTATCTTAACAACACAAAAAACTTTACTTCATTGATAACCACTTCTCTTATTTTCACTTAGATATTAACTATTCGGTCAGTAGGCTTAGGCTTAGCGATTCATTTGGTTAAATTTACCGTTATCCGACACCTCGTTCACTGACATGCTCTTGGCGGTAATGCAGCATAGCGTCTTGCGGCTGACCCTGTAGCAAGAAAACGGGTAGAACGCCGTTCCAAATAAGAAGATCTTGTTGAAGGACAGAGAAGTTTATTTGGGAATGGAAATGGTGGGCGAAAGAAAGGAGCGAGACACAGAAGTGCTCAAGAGGAGGAAATGTCCAACTCCAGCAGGCAGCCAGAAGATGCAACTGTGTGGCGGTCGAGGACGTCAAGGGTAGCACACACCGAGATGAGGAAACGCTGAGAAGAGATCCTGGCGGGGGTAGATCTGAACAGAATCGTTAACATCTCTCGATACACATCCATACACAGGAGAAGAAGGCATGTTGAACAGGGATATAGTGTAATGTAACGAGATCGTACGGGAAAAGCGTATAGTAATCGTAAATAGTACAGGTAGGATGGATTACATCTGTAGAATAACCTATCTGGGTGGAGAGATGATACCAGCATGCCAGCTAGCAAGCCATTGGGGAGCGCAGCGCTGTGGGCAACTGCAGGGAGGGGCTGGGGACGTGCCGATGTAGCGAGGAGAGCGATACATGCATTATGTAACGGTACGGTGGGGGGGAAGGGATCGGCGGAAGAGAGAGGAAGGGACACCGGGCGTCTTCACCGACACGCGGCTACGCCATCTCCACCCCAGCTCCTCGCGCCAAAAGTGTTCACACATTCAAACAGTTCTGTTCGCGCCAAGGGGCGTAACGACTGCACACGCCACGGGAAAACCAGGAGTGAAGTCGTTCTCCAATCAGGCGTCCTCTTCCGTGACCTTCCCCGGGAGTGGTTCCTCGATTTCTACAATAAGTTAAGATAAAAGCAGCGAAAGATAACTATGATAACGGTATGGTCATGGTTAGTTTTACATCGCAACCCAACACTCGCGCTTAAATCCTATGGGGTTTTCAATGTCGCATGTGCCTGGGTTTTTATTGGGTACTTCAATGCCCTGATCTCTGATGTTAGCGTCCTTATTTTACGGGCGTTATACTAGGTTTATGATGGTGCTATGATGTTAAGTATGATTGGAGTATCTACTAAAAAGCAGAAGGGAAATGCTGGGATACCCAGAGACGAGCCGAACCCCTCGCAGCTACACCAGGCAGCAGCAGAATGTCGGCGAAACACGCGTATATGGGCTTTTGGTTAGTACCTGTGCTTTAAGTGTGGTATCACCCTACTCTAAAGCATCCCGTTTTAATTTGCGGGTTTGCTTTCAAGGTCACGGACGGATTTCCTTCAGTTTATTCATGTTTTTCATAAACATTTTCACACAAAAAGCCTTTCCATCTGTCCACCTTCTTATCCATTTGCCCCGTCCGTATAACCCCTCCTTCCTCCGGTCCCGTAAGACACGCGGACGAATCTTGTGTTATTTGCAATGGGTCTCATATTGCGTTGTTGCCGGATTCTGACACACCAACAAACACCAACGCCACCACCACCGTCAACACCGGTGATGAAGACACGGTATATACCTGTTCTCATTGTGATCGCACTTTTACCTTCGCCTGGTCGGTCACTTGCAAATCCGTTCCACAGAGATTGACGAACTAGTACCAGGAACACCAACCTGTACCCGCCGCATCCGCCTCCACTGCCCACACCGCCCTCGCACATTCATGCACCGCATGGGCCTATTCGGCCACGTGCGTATCCACGAGAGCGGAACTGACCTCAGCCCTGTCATACCTTGCACATCCAGAACACCCACCATGTCTAGTCCCGCTCACACTCCGCCGGCCAGCGTCCCAACGTCACCAGATCCACAACACTCAGTGCATCTTGCACATCAACCATGCTCAGCCCAACCCACACCCCGCCGCACTGCGCGTCCACCACCACCGAATCTGTTATTGACACTGCCGACTTCTCATGTCCACACTGTCACCCTACATTCACCTCACCCATCGGCCTGGTCGGTCACTTGCGAATCCATCGTGCAGAGACTGACGAACCAGCGCCTGAAGCACCAACCCACATTTACCGCATCCGCTCCTACTGTCCACATTGCACACGCACATTTATTGACCGTATGGGTCTATTAGGCCACATGCGTGTCCATGAAAACCTGCGGTAGACAACCGCCGGCTGCACCATGTCATCACACCCTTCCTTACCAACATCTCGCCGCACATTAACATCACCCACCGCAAGCAGCCAACTGCCATCTCCCACGCAAATGGGAAATGGGCGTCTCGGCTCTTTCCCCATGCGGCCCCCCAGCTGCATGTCTGATCAGAGCCTGCAACGTAGACGGTGCGTCGAGCGCCGTGGCTTGGAAGGCAGCCGACCGACGCTCCAGCTCAGTCCATGCAGCCTGCTCAGTTGTGTGTGTTGTGTGGAGTAGCGAACTCGTGGGATGAGAGCCAGGCTGTCACGGCCCCTTATCAAGCGATCGGTGACACTCTCATGAATGCGAGGAGAGTGCTTGGTTTGTGTGTGTGCTTTATGGATAGTGACTCTCGGTCGACGACAGTTTTGTTACCTAGCATTGAAGGGTGACGGCCAAGGCTAAATGCAGGGCCAGGTGTCGCCCTTTTAGGTCAAGTGGTCTGAAAGCGTGTGCTATGTCGGTATCAGCAAACTACGGCCTTCGCAGTCTTGTATGCGCTGGCAGTTCCCTGACACCTGGGTATCTGCCGGTAGATGCGCTTGCGCTCTCGCTAGGTATACAGGTGGTGGGCATGGCTGCCCAGTCATCCTCATTCTTCTGACCCCTGTTGGGTGTTGTTGTTGTTGCTGGCGAAAAATCCTGGTCGAGTGTCTGTTGTGGACAAGGTGGGCTTGGTAGCACGCCTGGGTGCAGGTGCGGCCGTGCCAGCAACCTGCTCATTCCCCCGCC